GAGGCACCGAACCTTGGGGGAGCGGAACCGCCCCGGAATTGTTGTTTGTCATTTAACCAGAAGGGAAGAGAGAGGGGATTGCTTGCTTTGTGTTGCTTTTCAGACCTTGTTTGGCACCCAGTTCTTTCATTTGGGTGTGTTTTTTTAGAGTTGGTACCCTTTCAAGGTCGGTTTTTTGCTTGAAACCAACAGGACCTCCTCAATTGTGGGGTCCAAATGCCTATATTCTTGACACGTACCCATTCTCCCCGCAGATTCACATTCAGGCCGGGTCCCCACAAGGATGTTTCTCTCAAACACGGCAGTTGTGCGGAGTTCCAAGTAAATTTTGGGGAGTATACTGTAAGTCCTTTAGAGCCTTTGGCTCTAAGTTGGACCAATCCTTCAGTGCTATGGTTCTGTAGGCAAGCCACTAGTCGAGATTTGGATGGTGAGAGACCAGCGTATCACACGATCCCGCATGTTTGCTTTATCATCCCCTTGCTGACAGAAAGAGTGCGCACCTTGCCGTTTGTCTTTGCAATTTTCATGGTCCGGTTCCTTCGCAAGGTTTCTGTGAGTGTACTATTTCCTATTGTGGCTCCTAGGCTTGCGACCGGGGTTCAGCTGAGAAGCAATTTGCGAGAGGTGCCACTCGTAAAGGTCACCCCAGCCAAGGTATTTTGATGTATCTAGGATGGCTTCCTCGGGGCACGGACCCAGTTGCTTCTCTGCCCCTTTGTCAGAATGAATGATATGATCTTGAACACTGGTTCTATGTAGTCTCTTCCCAGGCATTGGTGAATATTACTAGAGGCCGACCGACATTAATAGGGTAATCAGGAGTCAGATGGGCTCGCTCAGCGGCAAATGTGCTCATTCAGTAAAATGAGCCCAACTTGTAACTTTGTATGTAAGGTGTAGTGCAAACTTAACTTTAAAAGGGAAGCTCTCTGTTTGATTTTGGTCAGCACAGATTAGTAGAGCTAGCAAATTGGAAAGGCTCAAAATTGTTATATCATTGGTTTCAGCATGATTCAGTACACACTTGAAAGGGAAAGGGGGGCCTTGGGTTTTCAATTCTGGCAAGTACGGGGTTTGGCAAGCAATCAGCCAGTTTAGTATTGGTCTTGAGGTGGCCTATTCCAAAAGTAGAACTGGGGACCTAGCGGTCAGGGAAGAAAAGGTGTTTATAAATAAGGGTTTTATTAAATAGGGGGAATGGATTATGAAAATTTTACTTCTGGAGTTCTGCATCCGCTGGCAGGAGGAGGAAAACAAGGACCACCAGCGGTGCGAGCTGTTGGCGTGCGGCCTTCTGGAAGATGAACAGGCCAGTGTCGGACTGGGTTCCCGGGTTGCGCTCGGATTTGCAGCGCTGGGGTCGTTGAAGTTACCCTCCTAGCGTGAAAGTGCGCAGTTGCCGTTTTGAGGGAAAGTTGTCTTTCGAAAGCAACTGCACTTCCATGTTTGGTGGGAAGGTTTGTTGTTACATTAGGTTCACCTATGGCCCAGAATCAAGCATGCTGTGCTCGGGGGGCAAACGCTGAGGTAGATGGCCCAACAACCGTGCGATTTTGTGCTCAGTAAGCAGTCACTGAGCCACCCATCGCCTCAAGTAGGACCAAAGGATTCATAGCAAAGGGGGTCCTCTTGGTTGTCTTGAGAATACCCCTCCCAACAAAATACAGGGCGCCAGCTGTTTTGGGCATACCTCCAAAATGGATCCAGCCCTTCTCAGGTGGCCATGCATCTTGCCTAAGCACCGACCACTAAATTTCCATAGAACCAACCAGAACTCAAAGCAGAGCCCTTCTGACCTCATCTTTATCGCCTGGCGAAGCTCATCTTTTGAACTGACAAGCTTGTTGAACTGGGTATGTCTTCTTGTCGTAGACTCCTCAAAATGGTGGTTGTATTTTTTGGCTTCTCTTTAAAAGCAACCAAGGGGGGTTCCCTAAAAACAGTCAGACCCCAAATGATACTGAGTTAATGGACTGAACAGCCACTTTTTGGGAGAGCATATTCGTGGCAAACAAGAAGTATAGCTGCTCTTTTTGCTCAGGTGAGAAGACAGCTTCCCTTGGTTAAAGGCTGAAGGTCAAAACCCATAGGTTAATATCACAAGCTCAACACGGAAAAGATTCCCCCCCTCCCCGTTGCTGGGTTCAGACCTTTGAAAAACCGGCTGGGGGTTGCACGCACGAGGCCCCCCACACCTTTCCCCTTCCCGGCCCTCCCCGGCGATCGCCTGGCGGCCTCCGGGCATAGGAAAATATCAGCGCCCAGAGTCTATTGGGCCGTGTAGGACCTTTCTAGCCTAGGGTTTACCCATTCGGCCTTTAAGATCTCAGCCTTGGCAAGGTTTACAAATGCAATCCTTGGGGCCCAGGGTCGGGGACTTCATTGAAGAACGTTCAGACTAGGGTTCCATGTCAGTTTGGAGATCGGTACCTCAACCAAAAGCCACATCCCTTTAAGTCAATCGACTGGGATATCCTGCAGTGGTGATAGTCTTTGTCTTTTTGGAGGGAGTTTCGCTTTAACATCAGCCAACAAGAGGGCGTCCCCTTTTGCCTTCAGAAATCCGGTCTGGAGGTAGCGAGGTGGCTCAAGGGTCGTTCAGACATCTCCAAACCAGGGCTTGGCAAAAGGTGTGTTTTGGCAACCTGATGGTTCCCCTTTGTTTTGTTTTTTTTAGAAGCTGTCAACAGGAGCTTGTTTTTACAATAGTGATTTCAACATGTTTAAACACTCCCGTTGGCTTGCATTTCAAGGGGACCTGGGTCGTTTGAACACAATTTGGGTACCATGATAGTACCTTCGCCTGGGAGGCTTTCCTTCCAACAAGGGCAGAGTCGGTTTCTAAACCAACCAGTCGAAGGGCGCGAAATCCTGTGGGCCTTTTTTTTCAAGCATGTGTTTTTCGCGGGTTCCTCAATGTCCCATTGTTAGACCTCCACAAGTGGCAGTTTCAATGGAATGTGCCAGCAAATTGGAGATTTGAAGGGGACCTCCAGCGTCTCATGTTCTTGTGGATTCTTTACTTGGGCCCGTCAAGGTCAACAGCTTGACGGGTTCTCAGGGTTGGCTTCCCGAAGCGACAAATTTGGAGGGCACTTTTGCGCATGCCACTTTAGAGGACCCATTTGGGGCTCAAAAAGTGTAAAAGGAAACAAGACACCAGAAAAGGCTTTGGTTTCCCCTGGGCGTCCCTTTATTTTCCCTGAAAAGCAACTCCAGTGAGCTTCGCCTGCAGAAGAGACACGCCCGATATGAATTTGGTACACAAGAAAGGCATCACGCAAACCGCAAACTCCAAAGGGGTTTTGGACCCGTTTTACAGAAGGGCTTGATTTTCCAGGATTTTCCGCCATCAATTGCATCATTTGTGTCCCAGGTCTTTAGGTTTGGTTGGAAGTTCTTCGCAGTTGGTACTTTGGGGAGGACATAACAAACAACCCAAGTGCTGGGGCTCAACTCCCGAAGGGGAGCAAAACGGTAGGTTTTCAGTTGGTTCCCCTAAGCAATCCTACAAGTCGACCAGCCTGCAACATCCTGTGTTCCTTCACCGCAACTCTGAAGCAAGAACCAACCCGCCGGGGCCAACAGACCTTCTTGCTTGGGCTGAGCAAGGAGAGTCATCAACCCTTAGACGGGATTCCGAAATTGGTCGAATCCTCTAAATTGGCAACGGCTTCCTGTTTGTTTTTGTTGTTTCTTTCAACACAACTCCAAACAGACCCCAACATGGCAACGTTGTTTTGATTGATGGATTCCTTTTGAATACCAAACATGGGAAACGTTCATAAGGCCGTGGGTCAAAATCCCGTACCCCCAGTGAACATCCCAATCCCCACTAATATAGACTAAAATGGGTGGTGCATTGACCCACAGCGACATGGATTCATCCGGATTCCAGCCACGGCGCAGGCGAGCTGGCAGCCCCTGGTGAGCAAGGCAGACCTCACGGCCGCCGCCAACATGGAGCCCTGCCAGCGGGAGGCCATCCGCCATGTGCGCCGCTTCGAGAAGACTTCACTCGCTGGAGGTGTTGCACTTGTTTTCACTCTTTGCTTGTCTTTTGTTGATTAAGAATGGTCCTGCCCCCGTTGCACCTGCTTCAGTCTCTCTTAAAAAAACAAAAAAATCAAACGTGGTCCTCCCCCCTTGCCCAAGATAGTGCCAGTTTCTGGGGGTGGATCTAAACATCTTGTTCTTGTTTTGGACCCTGGTGTTGGGCTTAGACCCTCAGAGGGGGAGCGGGGGAGGAGGTCGAGGATGGGAAGGGCGAGGGGGCAGGGAAGAGGGGAAGGGAGGATTGAAGGGATTTTGAACGCGGGAGGCGCAAGAAGCAATTTGGAACCAATGATGATGTTGATACGTTCCAAAATCTAAAAACTACTCAAATAGCTTGTAATTGCCTGCCCTGAGAAACTAGTCAGGGCAACGTGTGAAACTTGAGTATTCAGGTATTTCAACTGCTTTGATTAGTTTTATCTAGCCTACGCAGCCAAGCTTATTACTGGTTTGAAGTGGCTTTTTCAGTGTGAGATTCTTCCCCAGGACCAACAATGAGCTTGATGAGTTTTATGTGTCTCTCCGGGAAGCAACCTCAAGCATGTCGAATTAGTGTCTTACTTTCATGCGGCCAATTCGACTAGTAAACTAAATATCAACTATGTTGAATCATTCAATCAGTTGAAAGAGTAGTGTCTCTAGATGTCTTAGTTTCTTAAAGAATCCCGAACTCAAGGGACTGGGACCCCCCGATGAGTAAAGTTAGTTCCCCAAGAAATAGGTTTAGTTCGTGCCCCATTGCGCCCGGCTAATTAAGCTTGTGAACACACTGCATGCATGAATTGGTTCAATGGTTCAATGGTGTTGTTATCCTAATTGGTGACGAATACATGCCGGACCCAGAGCGCCCGGACCCTACAATGATTAGTTCAGTTTATTGCCAAAAGCATGGCGAAGGGTTTTTTGCGGTCAAGTCGCCTTAGAGATTAAAATCAGATTTCACAATTCTTGACCCTCTCGCAGATTCAATAAACTATGACTATCCCGTCGGTGCCCCCTCAGTGTTGTCAATGGTACTGCCCCTCCGTGGCTTTCTTATCAATAAGCGAAAGCTAATGCTAAATAAAGTAAGATGCAAGGGGGTTCTACCACAGGGGTTCGTATACCAAACAGTTTGTCCACGTCTTTTGTTTGTACCCACTTGGATATTTGATTGTCCCATTTCTCAACCGATCAGGGATGAAACGAGCTCAGCAGGATGTGAGTCCTTTACTAGGGGATCCAAGTCCAGGTTCTGAAATTATTGTAGAATCTGCAGAATTATGCCGGTAGTATTTTTGATTGGGGACTCTTTGGTCATTTCCACTAGCCACTTGTTAGCTTACTGGAATACACAACTGCATAGCACATGGGTTATCATTTATCATTATGATGCAATAGCATTCCCTTTGATCCCGTGGTATCCCAAGGCCATTTGGCGCGCATGAACCACGAGCAGGCCTTGCCCTTGCTTACAGAGCGCTTCACACACATGGGCCGCTGACCTGAGTTCTGGCGTTTTGAGGAGGGCTGAAGCTCTCCGAAGCCAACGCATTTCAACTGAGCCGCCATTCTAGTAGGTGGTTCTACCACACGGTTTGATAGGGGTTACAGTAAAGCCTGTATTGCCATGTCAGAACCCAAAGTCAATGAGTTTTGGGTGCTGCTCAACTGGGTTGTTTGGAGGTGTGGACGGTGCCAATGACTCTGCACAAATTAGCTCACGAGACGGGATAAGATGAGCTTCCTGAAGGTTCCCTTGGATGTCTTTTTTCAGGTTTGGTAGTCATAGCTCCGGACTTATCAGTTTTATTTGTTGATTTATTGTTTTGGGCCAGTTTCAATTGAGTCTCCTTTGGGAGTGATGTTTAAGGGGGAAGTATGGTTTGCTCAGACTTCTGATCTTGGAAGGACTCAACCCCCTCTTTCCGTTTGGCGCGTGACGTGGGCGATCCTTCTCGGCTTAGACGAGACAGGGGGGTTAACTCATGGCAACGTTTTACGGGGCGGGGGTGCGGGAGGAGTTGGGGTTGGGGCGGGGGAATCTTGCCAAACATGTTGAGCTCCCAGATGATGGTTTGCTGCGGGTGACTAACTACTTGGTTATTTGCCACGAAACAAAGACCACTCCATGTTCAGCCTGTATCAGTAGGATCTTCCGGATGTATCTCTTATGGCAGGGTAAGGTGCTACCTGGTGGGGAACTCTTCTGACTAACTAGTACGGCCCTGGAGACTATATATACGTATCCGGTGTATATAGTTGTCCAAAGCCGACCTGTTGACCTTATTTTCGGGCCGGCTTGGAAGCTTTTATATCTTCCACATAGGTTGTGTCTTGGCAAATATCTAGCTTATTTATTAGTATATAATTATTGGGAACTATTAGTTATGTGTTTTTCTTCATCTATATCTTTTTTGGAGTTCATGTTCTGTATCTTTCCATAAATGAGATGCCGTAGGAAAGCGAGTTAACGAAGCAGTTTTTGCCCTGGTCTTCTGGACAAGTCAGCATGTATCGCTCAAGCGTGTTCCGGGTTTTGTCAACAATACACCCCCAAAAGAGATTAGTTTCCGGTTGATCCCTTCGAACACCGTCCAAAAGTTGTTGCCTACTCTTACGGCCAGCCCCTGAGGTTTGCCTGCGCCCCGAACCAACGCCCCGACACAAAAACCCAAACCTAAACCCAAAAAAACATAAATCTAAACCCTAAAAACCATAAATCTAAACCCTAAAAACCCTAAACCTCAACCCTAAAAACCAGAAACCTAAACCCTAAAACCCTAAACCGAAACCCTAAAAAACCCAAACCTGCTTGCAGAAACCTAAGCCCTAAAAACCTAAACCTAAACCCTAAAAACCCTAAACCTAAACCCTGAAAACTGCCAAACCTTCCTGCTACCCACGCCTCGTGGCACCACGGCCCCACGTTCTGAAGAGAACGCAGGTCACCACGTGTCAGGTATGGCTGCACGAGTTGTGCTACTTGAGTAGTAAAGGGTGCCATACTTGAACCACGTGCTGGACAAGGGTGGATTAGGGGGTGCCAGCAAACCACAGGGGCTGTGGGTAATCTTAGGACAAACCCTCGTTGCCTCTACGAGCTCATATACACTCCGTGTCTTCAAGCCGGATGCTACAAAACATATGCAAATGCCATGGATTCTGCAGGCACTCTGGGGCATTGTGAATGCCGAGTGCGTCAAGATGATGTGCAAACAGGTCCCCGCTTCGTTGTTGCCCCATATGTCTTTCGGGCTGATCGAGACTATTCAGCAGGGTTCGCATACCGTCTCTCAGGAATGATGGGACCAGACGTGCGCTGCCCCCCTGCTGCCAATCTTAATCATGGGTTGTCTTTAGAATGAAGCCTTATGGGAAGCTACATCACCCCGAATGTTTGTTTTCTGTTTCTTACCCGAGCGGGCGCTTCAAAAGGCTAAGCCTTTGAACCTTCTGAAATTTGGAAACATTTGACACCTACCCCCCCCCCCCCACGATTAACATGGAACCTGACAAGGGATCCCTTTGAACGGAAAATTGTCTTCCAGGAGGGTACTTATCCATTGGCATAGTGAAATGGCCCCTTGAGTTTCCTAAGGGATATTGTTGAAAAAGCACCCACCCACTCAGAAATTTGAAATCGAGCTGAGGGTTGCTGGTTCCATTTCCCCCCGAACGAGATTAGATAGATGCAAGGGGGAGACCTTAGGCCTAGGTGGAAAAAGGTGGAATCAAAAGGCTGTTTCAAGTTTAGAGAATGACTGTGTCAAACAATACATCTTACATCTTTGCCCCTCATAGCGACTAAAACCCCAGGTTTACAGTTGAAGGTTGACCTCTAAATGCACACCTTTCGGGGTCAACAGTTGCTGTCGCGCTTTAGGCTACACCACCTCGGACATGTGGATGACGCTCTCCTGGATCCGGGAGCTGGCACCGGTGATCATCCATGTGGACCTGAAGACCATCGCGGAGTTCCTCAGGCGAATCGTAGACACCCCACAATTGTGGAGGACTTATTTCGCCTTAAGTTTTATGTGGCCCTGCTTGGCCTTGCTTGACCTCATTTGGCCTTGGCCTTGCCTGACCTTGGCCTTTGGGCCTATTTGGTCTTTAGCTTTTCTTTGCCTGATTTCCGCGGAATAAGGCTCGCTAGCCTCCTAACCCCTGAGGGTTGGCAGGGGGAGTGCTTTATTCTCTTTCGCAGCAACCAGCCAAAGGGAGTCTGTCCGCAAGACAGGAGCCTCGAGCACATTTCGTAACACTGGGTTTTGCGAGTACTTTTTGGTGATGCCATGGGAAATGAGTTAGACAAAGTCTACGTTTTGCTGTTTCAAGGTCATTGTTGTTTTGTGTTTTGTATTTGTTCTGGGAACAAAAGTGCTTGGCGAATATGCCTGGGGTAGCAACAGACGTAACAGTTCCTGGTTTGTTGTGCATGCGAATGGACACTGTCAGCATTCTCTTCAAGCGTGCACATGTGCCGAAATCCGCCGTGCTCCCTTGATGCATTCGTTCTTTGTGGGGGAAAGTGCTTGTTGCAGGAGCCATGCACCCCCTCAAAAACCTCTCCCCCCAACCCCGTTAAGACCCTTATTTGGTCATTTACCGGAATGGGGCTTTTTGGAACTTGAGCCTTTCCGGGCTTTTTTGGGCGGTAGATTTCCTGATTGTAGGACCCAACGGCTTTCTGGGGTGATCTGTTTTGTGTGATCATTCCTGAACATACGCCAACGCATTGACATGCAACCCCAAAACCCGGTTTGCAGAGGAATTTCGTTTTGGGACCGTCTTTCTGAATTCTATGCTGTATTTTGCAGGGGAGGAAGGTCGTATGCCTGGAAATAATGGTCTGTACGTTGTAGCTCGCAAATCAAGCACAATCTTCAGAATGTGCTGGAATTAGCCTTCCCGGTTCTTGCAGGGTCACTTTCAACACCCCAGAAGGCAAGAGCGGGACACAGAAGACGGGCAGGCAGCAGCTGCAGTTCACATGGTTGCTTGGGCTTGTTTCACGTTGACCAAAGGCAAGCACTTCGTTGTTTTGCTTCATGTTTATAAAGTTCAACTTTGTACCCTGAAGTACCTCTACTGTTGTGATAAATCTTGTTGTTCTTGTCTCCAAACGAGCCCCACATGGGTGCTTTGGTATCTCTTCACAGCCGCTAGGTCACTTCCAACAAACTCCCAGTTGTCCTAGTGTAGGACTGCATCCCCTCAAGGTACACAGATTCGGAGGGGCAAAGCGACCTTGCATTGCCGGGACCTTAATGTTTTTTGTTTCATCCCGATTGTTCTCGGTTGTTCAAAGCTGACGCATGACCATGTTTGGCCCCGAAACCTGAAATGCAGGGCCCACAAAGGAAACGGTTTGCTTCAGGGGTCGAACAAATTGGGGCCGGGTCCCGTTGCCAGGAAGGACACCCACTATCGGAATCAGTTCGAGACTGCGAGCTCCGGGGGTTTGCTGGCAGCTCGGCCGATGCAACTGGAAGGCTCTGACCTTGCGGTCCCGCACCGCTTTATGAAAGGAAGCCGTTTGGAAGGACTTTCAGGTATGAGATTCCTCTCAAAAATGTGTGTGCTTTATTCGGGTTCCATGTCGACCGGGAGTGTCGCCTGATTAGCAAGGCCCCTCAAAAGGGCCAGCCAAAAACATCGGGTCGATTGCAGGATTTTTTTGGGGGGGGGCATTCCAGAGGACCCTTGACAAGTGGTTGCTATGGTGACTGGTGACCTACCCTGTCAAACACTGAGGCCACCAGGTACCACTCGAATCATGGCCACTTCGGGGACCTCGGAGCACAAAAAGATTCTGTGTCAATGTTTCTTCGGGGCTGAATGTCAACGTGATGAACCCCTGTTGGACTTCTGAAAAGGCGGACCAGATCCTTTAGCTATGCGATTGTCCGCCAATCTGTTTCTGCACTGCCCAGCCAGGGTGCACGAAGACTACCTCATATGGAATATTTGCAGCGGGTGTGCGACCTTAGAAATGATTAAATATCCTTGTTTGGGGGTCTATTGCTGAATTGCCCAGATTCTGATGTTATGCTTCAACCGCTTTACTTTTTTCACTTCTGGGTCCTGCAAGCCTGGGAAGTAGCCTTGCTTGGGATTCCGCTTCCGTCATATCCATTCGCCGGGCGCGTACCTCGATGGTCCAGTCAGCAAAGGGAGTAACCCCCCACCCCTGTAAACCCTTGTAGCAAGGCTAACAATCTAACCTCACTGAAGGGTACCCTCCCAACCTGTTTCAACGCCTTCCAAACAGAGTCTGTGCACCAAGCCAAGCAGTTGGAGGGTTTAGGGGACAGTCCAAGAAACTACTTACATAGTTTTGTGTAGACAAGTTTGTGAACGGAGACGGCGAGCAGGGCAAAGCTTTGCGCAGTTCTGTGGAGCAACAACAAGTTGTGTAGACCAATGTATTTTGTCAGGTTTTGACCATGACTCAGTGGGGAATGAGATAATGACGCCTACGAACTACAGTATCACTTGCGTTTTTTGGGTGCTCCCTGAGCTCCCGGTGCACCAAGCTTATGGTGTTGTTTTGTTTGAAAGGAATCCCTAAAATGTTTACTCTCGGTTTTCCTTTAAACCAACTAACAACGTGATCCACCGTTTCGAGAATCTGTTCGGGTAGTTGGAGAGTTGAGGACACCTCCGTGCGCGACAAGTGGGAGCGTTCGCTGTTTGGTGCCGCCTACGAGGGGGCAGAGCCCTTTCACCGGCCGTGGCGAAGCGGCAGAAGCGGCAGAGTCGGTCGGTGAATCGCTTCGCTGTCGGGAGGAGAGATCTCTGCGCCCCGCTGGACTTGAGTCACATGTTGGGAAGACCATTTTAGCGGTAAGTTCTCACCCCCCCAGAAGTAAGCCAGAGTCCCAGGGGAAAAAAAAAACAGCCTTTGAAGGGCGGATCCACTTTACATCAGTTGGCATGGATGAAGGCCGATTCAACCTACCAGCTGATGGATTTGTCCATGACCGTTTGAATCAGTGTTTTTTGCACTGCCTCAGTAGATTGGCCAGAGAAAGTAGAAACAGTTTGAACATGGGATGGGTATGTGTCAAAAGTAGGCCCAAATGGGTTTGCCTTTTTCTGAGGGTACATGTCTGGATGAGCTCCCAAAAGGGGATGCATGATGTTCGCAGCTTCGCCGCAGATGTCTATACTTTGTTTGCGCAGCAGGGCCAACAGCCAAGTGGAGAACTCCTCGCGTGACTTTTCTTCTTTTGGCTTCGGATCCTCGATCCAGGTCTTTGCCAAATGCGGCCGAACATGACAAAGGGTCGGGGCGTTTGCATGATGTGTGCATGGCGAACAGTGCATACATGGAAAAGTACCGACCTTTGAGGGCTCATGTTGTTTGTGGCTGGAGTTGGGGGGTTCCAAGTTTACCGGGAGACCACGGGGTATTTCACGAGGGCGCTTGGCCCTTGGTTGGCATTTGGTTCCTCACGGGTCTTAGTGCAGTACCTTCCTGAAACAAAGCTTGTTTGGCCAGCCACACCCCTCGCCCAAAACGACATTAAAGTGACAGCTTCCTCTATGCCAGTATCCCAAGCTTGTCCCGTGACAAAGGGACCATTCCGCTCACTTCGGGGTACAGTGACTAAGGAAGTACGGGGTTCTGAACGTGTGGAACGACCCTCAGGGCATCTACGGCTGCGAGCAGTACGGTGTCCCTGATGAACCAGCGCTTGCTTGCTAAAGGGCTTTTCGTTTTTCAGGGATCCCTGTACTGGGCAAATAGGGAACCCACCCCCCAAACTGCTGGTTGCCTTTTTTTGGGTTCAAGCGTACCCCTGGAGAAAGGACACCGGGATGACCGGTCCTTGTCTAGACAAGATCCTGCAGTTTAACGTGCCAGCTCACCTTTCCACCTTGTACTTTGCCATGTTCAGCCAAAGTTGCAAATTTCGCCATGTATTGATAAGCCTTTTTGGCTTGTACATGCCCTCCCCTTGGTGGCTTTAAACAACTTTTGTTTGTTTGAGCGCAAGCTGATTCACACCGACAGCTCATACGCATGTGACCTTTTCAACGACATCATGGACGAGCCCCGCCCAGAGCGATTTGGAACCTCAAAAAACTTGGACTTGATACATCACGCGTGTAGAGCTGTGCAGATGTTCGGTCGCCAGCACACCTCTGTGGTAAAGGTTAAATCCCATAGTAAAATTTGCGACTTAGATACCCTTGAAGACAAGTGGGCGTGTGTTGGAAACGATGCGGCGGATATCGCTGCAAATCGAGCACGCAACTCCCTCAACCAGGATATTGTGGGCAAGACCAACGTTTTGCATTTTGCAAACTTAAGAGCGGAGAAAGCTATCAAAGAAGCTCACACTTTGTTAGGAAAAATCTCACGGTTGCAAGTAAGTGAATTAACAGAAAAAGAGGACTTGGTGCAAAGTGACCCGGTTGTTAAACTATGTGGCAGTGTCCATAGCACTTGGCCCACACGTACATTGCCAGAGTTTGATGAACGATGCCGTGACGAAGCGTTTTGGGGAATTACGTATATGCTTAGGCTGTATCACTGGGTCTCCACTCTTCGCTGGGCACCTCACGTCCAGGAAGATGAATGGGGTGTTTCATGGATTGAGCTGTTTCTCAGCTTTCAAATGAGCACTGAGTCGGATATCCCAGTTAACCTTGGCACTGATGATCGACCACTCTTCACATTGCCAGAACACAATGAAGCGGTGAAACTCATTAAGCCGACTACGCATAAGCGTATGATTAGCTTTGAGAAAAGTTTGCGGGCCTTGGGAAAAATCGTGGGTGTCGAATTATTCCCTTGCAACACTTGCAGCAGACCTCAAAGCCTCCGGGCCCTCGGTTTCTTCCAGGCACGACCCGGTCTTCAGAAAAGGCCGTGGTTCCCTTTCCACGAAGACATAACGCAAGCAAGTCGCAACAAGGCAGGTTGCCCTGTCATCATTGGGGACCTGCCCACTTTGGTTGCAGACATTCGCATGACTTCCATCCCTGTGCAAGAAGGGGATACCGTCGAGTCACAGTGGACGAGACGGAGGTTTCACAAAGAGCGCCTTCGGGCGCCGCGCTAAGGAGAACGGACTCGGGCTGCACTCACACGTGGGGTGCAGTCCGAAGAAAGAGACGGGTGGCTTTAAACAACACCTTTTTCAGATAAGCTCAGCAGTTGTCCCTTTTGGTCGAGTGAGGTTTAACAGGGGCCAACTCATGTTTCTTGCAAAAGTACCCGAGATAGCTTCCACTACCCCAAGTCACTACCCTCAGGAAAACACGGGGGTATATAACCACTAAATAAAATTAGGTACTCATTGGTAGTTCTTTGGGGGTAGTGGAACTTTGAATGCCCACCGTTGACAGACCGCCTTTTGGCGCTTTGGTGTTTTCAGTTTCCATCGATTTCAACGATTGAATAGCAAGAAGGTGCTTCTTTTGTTTCGGTCTGGAAGTCCTAAAGCTGCCAGAGGATGGGCAGTTGTTCTTTGTTGTCCACACCCAGTGTTGAACAGGCAAGCACTTCCTGTATGGAAACTACAACGACCTCGCAGGTTCTTCAATTGCGGGTTTTGAGATCAGGGGCCTGCCAAATCAGCATTCAAGCCTTCCCAGAAGGGGCCTCGACAAAGAGAACTGACAATCTGATTTGTAGTTTATTGTGCTTTGGGGAGGACACAGTTGACAACCAATGTTTCCCACACAAAACAAAGGGGAGCTGCCAATTCGTCCCCAAGAATGACATTTGTTCCCACATGTCAAACACCCACGATAATTTTGAAGACCTACCAATGATGGGTACTGTTTAAGCTTGTATTACACCATGTTTGAGATCTGCTCCGATTTATTCAGGTTGGCTAATTGTGGACATATAATAGACATTTTGTTTCGGCACCCGGGGGGGGATTTTGTAGGGGTTGGTCTGATTCGGTGTAACCATGATTGCTTCACAAACACAAACACCAATTGTAGCTGTGATTTTGTTCTCGCTTTCCCTTTAGACTGATCAAGCTGCTTTGCTGGGCGCGGCTTGTTTTGCAGACGCCACGTTTCTAGGAGTTGGGTCAAGAAGGTCTCCAACCTTGAATTGTTTAGGACAATGTATGCCAGTGCTACCAGGCAAGCCATTATTGGTAACCAGGGGTTTCCCAATATGTGAAACCTGGTAGGCATTGTTTGTTGCCTCTAGTAGCGACTGGAAGCCCTGGATACGTTTTCACAGAAGCCCACAAAGAGTTCAACACTTTTGTGCGGGCAATACCCTCCCCCAGACTATCATGGAAGCTCCCAGGAGCCCTTTGGAAGACTTGGTTCGACTTGCAGAGGTCAATTGGGGGAGCTTCCGGCTGTTGGTTTGAGGGAGTATAACCAGATTTGACACATGCGCCCGTTTTGGCGCCTTTTCTTGCCGAGGGGACTCCTACCTGGTGCTCAAGGATCTTCGCCTCCGCTGCACGCTGGCGCCACAAGACTCCGGCGGCCTACCCGCGCAGAGGCGCCCGAAACGAGCCAAAAGGATTTATTTGTTTGTGTGTGTGTGTGAAAATTAGGGTTTCATGAACCATGGTGGTCCTTGTGTGTTTCCTTTAAATCAACCTGAAAAGAGTGCACTCAAAACGACACACACCCTTTTCTTTCCATGAACATAGATGGCACTGGTTCATAATAGTGACATCCTCAGAAATACCCGAGCGACATGATGTTTTGCCTCAAAATGTTCACAGTATCGGACCCAGACATATTTGGCCCCTGTACCGGTACCATCTATGTTTCCACACCCGTGCGTGCTAAGAAGACTTTAAGGGTGATCCCTCAACTACCAGCCCTTTCTACTGGCCAACTTTGAGAGTTTGGGCGCCATCGGCGCAGGTGCGACAGCTTAGTCGTTGCTAGTTTCTTGGATGTCCGTACAAAACGACAAAGGGGCTAGCTGCACAAGAGGATAGTGTGTGTGTGTGTGTGCGTATGTGTGTGTGTGTGTGTGGGTGTGTGGGTGTGTGGGTGTGTGCGTGTGTGCGTGTGTGCGTGTGTGCGTGTGTGTGTGTGTGTGTGTGTGTGTGTGTGTGTGTGTGTGTGTGTGTGTGTGTGTGTGTGTGTGTGTGTGTGTGTGTGTGTGTGTGTGTGTGTGTGTGTGTGTGTGTGTGTGTGTGTGTGTGTGTGTGTGTGTGTGTGTGTGTGTGTGTGTGTGTGTGTGTGTGTGTGTGTGTGTGTGTGTGTGTGTGTGTGTGTGTGTGTGTGTGTGTGTGTGTGTGTGTGTGTGTGTGTGTGTGTGTGTGTGTGCGTGTGTGTGTGTGTGTGTGTGTGTGTGTGTGTGTGTGTGTGTGTGTGTGTGTGTGTGTGTGTGTGTGTGTGTGTGTGTGTGTGTGTGTGTGTGTGTGTGTGTGTGTGTGTGTGTGTGTGTGTGTGTGTGTGTGTGTGGCAACACACTGAATCGACTGAACATGGCTAGTTTCTTGGATGTCCGTACAAAACGACAAAGGGGTTAGCTGCACAAGAGGATAGTGTGTGTGTGCGTATGCGTGCGTGCGTGCGTGCGTGCGTGCGTGCGTGCGTGCGTGCGTGCGTGCGTGCGTGCGTGCGTGCGTGTGTGTGTGTGTGGGTGTGTGTGGGTGTGTGGGTGTGTGGGTGTGTGGGTGTGTGCGTGTGTGCGTGTGTGCGTGTGTGCGTGTGTGTGCGTGTGTGCGCGTGTGCGCGTGTGCGCGTGTGCGTGTGTGCGTGTGTGCGTGTGTGTGCGTGTGTGCGTGTGTGCGTGTCGGTGTGTGTGTGTGGCAACACACTGAATCGACTGAACATGGGTAGTTTCTTACATTGGGCCTTTTGAAGTTTTAGCAGACAGAGCAAAAAGAAACTCGATCTCCCTTTCTTGGTGGTTTCAACACGAACCTAGGGGTGTGTGAGCCAGCAATCGACCCCTCCAAACGATTTCCCGACCATCTTGAACATGACCTTCTAGGACGATGTTCGTTGTTTCATGGGTGGGATGTCTTAGGGGTACTTGCATGTAACCATGTAGGGGACTCTGCATTCAGGAAACACTCCCTCCCAACCATTTGACCGCCAACCCTTGGGGATTAAATATCTGCTGATTCTTTTTGGGAGGCGGCTGATCCAGCAGTAACATGTCCCAACATGCGTGTGTGTGTGTGTGTCATTTTTTGGGGGACCCCCCCCCCCCACAAAAAAAAGGAGAGGTGAATTAGACAGACCCATGTTGGTTCAACGATTCTGAGTTTGGATCAGGCTAGCTGTGCTCGACTACTGCGCTCATTCCCTCATGGAGTACACTGATGCCGAGTTGCAGGCGGGTGCAGAAGAAAAGGGCCTAGACCTTGCGTTCCTGTTGGTGTTTTGTGTTCACGGGCGCTCACTCCACTTTCTATATCCTTGTATACGTTTTGGGGGAAGACCATTGTAGTAGCAAGCAACGCATTTGGACTTTCTTCGGCTAACCCACTCAGGAAGCGAGGGGTGCCTTCAAGACTTGTTTGCTTGAAAGTGGTTGCATTTGGAGGGTTTGCTCAAAATTACCTTTGGGTCCCGTTTCTCTTTGAACCACTATTTGGAAGGTAACTTACTTTTACAGAGCCAGGAAGACCAAGGGGCAAAAGGCAAGTGCCCTTTTTTCCCCATGGCCACTGGGGGATCCTGGGTTCCGACTCTATCAAAGAGTAGTTTTCAACATCACCTTTTGGGCCGAGTTGAGGGGAGTTTCTAAAGAGAACATCTTTTTGACTGGATTTACAGGGAACAATGGGAAAAGCAATCGTTTGTTTGAGTCGACACACCCCTATTAATATAGGGGCCCCTGGTACTTTGATCCCTGGGACCTGTTTTCGGGGGTTTCTGACTATTGGTTGTTGCATTACTATAACTCACTCAGAGCGTAGGAACACTACCCCCCCCCCCACGGCATGTTTGTTTTCACGCCCTGTGACTTTTGGGGCTCTGAATCGTTCCCTTGCGAGGCACTCAATCCCTTCGGTGGAACCCCACATTTTCCAGGTGCGGCCAATGCCTTACAAGGCCCTAGGGCCCACGACTGTTCTTTGCTCATTGGATTGGAACCCCAGAATAGGTGGCTTTCTGTTGGTTTCCCTTTACCCAACAAGGGTTTCCGAATGGTTGATTTTCCCTGTTTCCCTTGCTTCCTTTAGGCAGGTTTCCCTTGTTTCTGATGTCCCCACCCGTCAGATGGGGTTGTTACAGCTGCCTGCTAGTCAGGCGGTTGCTTGGGGCGCAGTATGGGGTCCCGCATCCGGTCAGATCCGGTCAGATACGCGCAGTCTCGGGTTTGAGTGTCTGTGTTTCACGGCTTTTTGGTTGGATACCACTTACGAAAAAGCAATGCTTGCGCTTGTGGCTGCTGAGACTTACTGTAGCTACGCGTCATTGTTATTCGATCCTTCACAAACGCTGCTCGGTGTATCGAGCCAAAGTCTCACACTGGAGACAGTCATTTGCACGAATTTGGGTGTGAATGGTTCGAGCTAGTTTTGACTTGTAACCAGCTAGTCCTGCCTAGGAAGTTTCCTTTGGCACTTGCCCGGAAGCTTCCCTTGTTTCCCTCGGGAAAGTTTTCCCTTCGGGTCACTCCATTTGAGGAGATGGTGGGCCTGGCGCGGCACGGCCGCGAGAAGATCGGGGACTCCCAAGTTGTGTGCCAAGCCTGGGGCGCCTCGGACGAGACAGGGGGCCTTGAAAACGAGGAGGCTAGCGACGCATGGCATAAAACCGAGCAAATGAAGAGAAATGGCCATGATTCTTTCAGAGTTGGAACCACCTCAAAAGTGATTGGTGGACATGAATGCTCACCTAAATGATGTCCACCAAAGGGTCCCTTATTAGAATGCTTTCCCAAATGTATTTCAATGGTATCAGGAAGCAATTCCGCAAGGACTTAGATGTATAGTTAGAGATATACATGAGAGAATCCATACGGGAGCATAGAACATAGTGATTGAATTTACGAAAAATGAGTAAGTAAGTAGATAAATACACAACCATAGACACAACGCAAACAGATGTCCACGAATGCATAACATTTACATAACTGAGCGACAAGTGTTGTGTCGCACACCTTAGTTTGCCTTAAAAGTTTGTTTTTGAGCTTTGGTCGGAGTTGCCTTTGGCATGGGCCAACGAGAAGGGGAAAAGACATGGGTACTTGACTGAACCCAGAATCCGCGTGGTGGTTTTGAAAGGAAGCCGAAACCGGAAGCGTGTTTGTCGAGATTGCTGTTCATACCCCTTTATTTTCCTGGGTCCGGTGAAAGATGGGGTTTTCGAGCCGTGCTCAGGCCTTGCCTGTCAAAACCTGTTCGCAAGATTCAGGAAACCATAAAGTGTCCAAGTGGATATTTCAGTATCAAGAAAAGGACGGGGGAGGGGGTCACGCATGATGCACGGTAGATGTTCAGAATCCTGATTTGCCTGACCTCCCTTTGGTTAGATCAACTGAAGGGCTTGTGATGTGGAACTCTAGATTTAGATTGCCCTGAAACAAAGGAACGCGCCTGTCACCTTGAACATATGCGAACCTCAGTTTTTGTTTAACCATCCTCATGTATGTTTCCTTGCGGGGATAGGTATCAAAAACAAACTTATCATGTATCAATCAAACATGTTTAGGCATCAAGAAGAAGCCATTCTCAAAGCAATTGCGTGGAAGGAAGGAAGGAAGGAAGGAAGGAAGGAAGGAAGGAAGGAAGGAAGGAAGGAAGGAAGGAAGGAAGGGAGGGAGGGAGGAAGGAAGGAAGGAAGAGGAAGGAAGGAAGGAAGGAAGGATGCATCCTACACCCGCTCTATTCCATCCTAAACGCACCCCACACCCACGCCAAACAAACCAACCCTCAACCGACCCCAAGCCGAACAGCCCGAAACCAAACCCGCCCCCGACAAGCACTAAACAAAGCAACCCCAGCCACGCCTGACAAGTTGGCTTGTGATGCCTAAAACGATGTGTTTCTTGCCGCAGTTTCCAGGCTTTTTACTGTGCTTTGCAGCAACATGGTGAACACAACGTTTTTTTGTTGATGCCTATGTTTGTCCTGGATGGTTGGAAATAAGTTTTGGTTGATGCTTACTAAGTTGTTCTTTGATGCCTCACCCGCCCTTACGGGCCACGGTAGCGCGGGTTTAGAAAAAAAGAACACTGCTTCGGCCGACCCTGCAGCAGTTGGAGGCACCGCTATCATTTCCCAGATTTGAACATTACAGTAACTTGCGGGACCATGCTAATCAAAGGAATTCCCCAACATGTGCATCGATTCCCGACTAAGAGTTCGGCCCGGCGCCGGGCCGGGATCCGAAGCTGAACAAGTCAAAGGTTATCCCACGGTCAGGGGCCCCCCTTCCCCAAGCCCAAGGGGGCCTTCCAGCGGTCCAGCGGGCCCTCGAATTGTGGCCTTGACCCTGGGATCCCAGGCAAGTACAAGGAAGTGCAGATCCACGGGGAGATCGACTTGAGCAAGCACGTGGCGCCTGGGATGTTTTGTGTGAAACCATCTGCGGGGTGTAGAAACCCTCTCGGGGTTGCTTTATATGGGTGTGTGCTTTTGTCGAGAATACCCTTTTTCATTTTAGCTTGAAGGGAGAACCAAAAGAAAAACCATTATTTAGACATATGCCCAAACATTCAAAGAGCAAGGTTGAGGTCAGTTCTTGCCTTTTTGGATGTCTTTTTGCAGTGGATCGACCCTGAAGGAGTGCTGAGAGAGTGTTGAGATAATCGGAAACAGGTGAAATCTAGTGGTGGATTTGGCTACCAGCGTTCCGGCATTATCCCTTTGCTACTGTTCTGCATATTTTACGCGATTCCACCGGTTCGGCCGGGGGGGGGGGGGTAAAACGAGCGATGCCACCAATGTTGTAGGTACCCATAGTGACCTCTCTGTTTTCTCGCACAATTATAATGTTGATTTCTATTGTCCTACTTACCTGAAACGAAAAGACCCCGCAGACCACAAGTTTAGTGTTTGGGTCATTGATGCCCCATTTTTATTTTTGCACCTCGTGCCCAAGAGAAAGGCATATACACCAGCTGTATGCAGCAAAAAAGGGTACTGTACACAGAGGGGGACATTAACTGTAGGGGCACATATGGCCCACTTGTTTTTCTCTAGACTGTGAGTTTGCAAGGAAATCCTTGGGCCGTTGCTTCCCGATGAAGAAGCCATCCAGATTTATCAACCCAGATTGGTTTCTGTACCATCGATCGGGTGGCTGTGCATTCCACAATGACAGTGGTAATGCAATTTCAAACAAAGACTGGTTTTGTGCTTTGTTTTTGTGCCTGAGATGCTTCTTGCCTTCTGAAACTATTCACGTTTACCAACCCAGACGTGGATGCGGATTCTTACCAAAAAAAGACATGGGTATCCTTGGATGCCCCAGATGTTTGTCTCCCTCTAACCCTTTCGAATAAAGGGTGGCAAATGGTATGCTGCCTTGCCTCCCGTTCCAAGGAACGTTTGGTGGTACCCGAGCGCCACTCTGACCACGCTGCGGAATACGACGCACGGCATGGGTTCCGGGGTTAGACAAACTCGGTTTGCACACTCCCTAGGGACCCAAGATACCATTGTAAGGTTGTTGCGGGTCAAAGGCCCTCATATTTAGGGTCTTGGGCTCCTCGGAAGAGACCCTTGTCCATTTTGAAGGGAAGCCGAAAAGGAGGTTGGTTCGAACAGTCGCTGTTTAAACACACGTTAACAGGGGGTTAGCCCAACCCTAGTTCCGGTCGCCTCTGTTTTCCTCCTTCTTGGGTGAAGATTGCAACTTTCACAGCGGGGATTCGGATGGGCTAGCCCTCCGTTTCGTGTGTTCCTTCCAAGAAGGGATATCGCCGTCGGTCCGTAGCCCTGCAATCTCCAAGAGCCCTGAAACATACCACAAAACGGGCCTCGAAATCCCTAACCCCAACCTCAAAACAGCAGCACGCCATGGTTCAAGGTCCTCAGAGAGGAAAACCTTTTTGTGTTAGCTGCATGCCACCACCAGTGGCTTATATCTTACCATGTTATATCAATTCGAATCGGCCCAAAAACAGACCCAATACGAATAGATTAAGCTCAACTAAGCCCTTACCCCGAAGCCCTAAACCCTCGACTCAAACTTCAAATTTGCCAAGTTTCCAAATGCAGCATTCACCAGCCAAAGATCAACTCGCCTCATTTGTGGGTCCCTTCATGGGTTCGGCAAGATGTTGTTATAGCAACCAGAGCTTGGACCCTTTTAAAGGGAAACCAACTGCATGTAGTTCAATCAATACTGATGTACACATGTTTAAACGTTGTGACACCTGCATGTTGCTGCTTACAGACAGTGCTGACTCCATGTACAAGCGTTTAAAAAAAAGAGCCGCGAGGTGACAAAACCGCACGATGATGGTATCGCCTTGTTCCACATTGACCTTTGTGAACGTAGCCGTGTGCTTTGAATATAGCGGGAGGGCAGTGCTCCTAAAGCAGGTCCTTTCATTCCCACCATATCCGTAGCCCAGATGTTTGCTTCTTCTCAAAAGCAAACACATGGGGGATCTTGTTTTTTGGCCAGACGCCCCCGTTTGGCGTCCCTTGGGCAGTCGCAAGCGCCCGGCCCGCTGAACCAAGCGGAAGACCTGAGGACGATCTGGCCAAGGCCAAGGGTTGGCAGATCACCTGGGCAGAGGATCCGGAATCCACGAGCGAGCCGGCAAGTTCGGTTCACCCGGATTTGAGTTGGTTGGTTTGGTTGGTTTGGTTGAACGACTTGTTGTAGCAGACAATTCAATGTTTGGTGGTCGGCTGGTCCGCTACTTCAACTGCTTGTGTTTGTGTGTGTGTGCTTGTTGAGCTTGTTGTTTTTCCTGTGTTTGCTCATCGGGTTGGTTTTTTGTTTTTTTTTTGGTTGCTCGCTTTGTTTCTGGGTGGGTCGCAGGAGATGGAGCGGGAGCTGGAGCAAAAAGCTGGGGGCGCCGAGATGAGTCGGGAGGACTCGAGAGTCGCCTCGGCTTCCCGGCTGCGCCTTTTCAGGGACCCTTTTCTGGTGGCCTTGAAAGGACAAATAAGAAAACCACCAGTCAACAAATAAGGAAACCACCAGAAAACAAATAAGAAAACTGGCCAGTCTTATTTGTTTGTGTTGGGGGTGCCCCTAAAAAAGACACCCAAAAGGAAGACCGTGGACAATTTGTGCTGTTGTTGGGTGCACTGGTCCAGTTGTTCGGTATCGCCTAACCAAACCATATGTTGCAGAAGCCGAGGTACCCGGAGTCTCCACTCTTGAGGCAAGTTGTACTGTACCCATGTTCTTTTTCTTGGCATGGGGGCGGGGTGGAGGGGGGGCAGAATAGATAGTCCAATGTTGAACGGGTCGTGGACCTAGCCGAAAGCAGGGCTCGAGGAAATGCCCCGATTTTCGAATCGTCATCACAAAAACAAAGGGTTACTCCGTCACTGCCCAAAGTTCATGTTATTTGGGGAACCTTGAGAGACTTCAGAGAGCCTTTGGTTGCCGGGAATCCTTGGTTCTCTCGGCCTTGCACGACCAGCGACACAGCAACTGCACTTGTCGTTGGTGACCTTTCTTCATCTTTGTAATCTTTTGAACATGATTATTTTCCTGATTGCTAACACGCGTTGAGCTTGTTACAGGACAAGGTCTTACCAAGTCGGCAAATTGTAGTCAGCTCGCTGATCGGGGGTCAAACGAGCTCACCCATGCAGGTCTCTTACTGATTACGGGGGTTGTCCCTTATTTCTGGCTTGGGAATTAGCGAGATTTGCCAACCCATAGGGTCCAAGTACCCTTTGATTGTTGAGGGCTCAACAGGAGTCCAAGTACCTCCTGCGGTACTCTAACTTTTTTTGGGGGGGTCCATGTTAGCTTGCAGCAGTGTACCAACCTAGACCATGACATGGTGCTTACGAACCATGCTTTGCTGTTTCTTTCCCGAAAAGCAAACCAAGCCACGTGGTGTTTTCCGACTTTTCTGCGGTCCCCGATGAAACGCCCAGAGAACTGACAACTTGAAGGACTTCGACAACATGTTGGAGAAGATTGCCGACCAGGGCGAAGCCAAAGAGGCGAACCTCGAGGCAGTGCCGGAGGCAGCCAAAATTTCGGTGCCTCGACGCAGGTTTCGGTGGGGAATGGGATGGGAATGGGTGGAGGGTCTTCGGTGGACATGGTGACATGATTGTGACAAGTCGGGTTTGGGGCCATTTTCTATGGTACCAATCAAGGGAACCCCCCAAAAAGTGACACATTGTCATAGGGCTGGCCCACTTTGGCATCATAGAAGGGCTTGTGTTACACCATGTTGCTGGCTCCGAACAAGTGGGAGGGGAGCTCTTTTGCTTTCGACCTTCTGAGGCCTAACCATTTTGGCTGCGCAGATTGGACTCGCATCGGTCCAGTGGCAACCTCTGGATCCCGGCAGTCCTTCGGAGCGCTTCCGCCCAAGGCCCTAAACCAACACCCAAATGGCTTTTAAAGGGAAGCCATAAGAAACCAACAACTTGGAAGGGTCTCGATGTTTGAGACCTGACCAAATGAGTGCACCCAAATGGCAAGACCGATGTCCAGAGCTCCCGATATGGAGCTACCATTTCGCTGGAAGAATTCTTCACGCTCAACATGGTTCAAGCACCATGTGTTTTGTGATTGCTGCACACACACACACAAAGGAGACAAAGTCCCGCCAAAGGGCAAGTGAAAGTTTATGTCCATGCACAGAAACATTTACACCTCAATATGAAGGTACACATTTCATGTACACACACGCATGAGGGGTTCGGGGGCGGGGATCCAAAATATGTTGTTGTTGTTTTTTTCCGCAACCAAATTCCCATGGGTTTCTAGCTTCAGCCTTGCATTGGAGACATGAAGCCCAGGATGCTCCGGACGAGGCAACGCAAGGCTGAAGGCGGACGCGTGGGCCAACGCCCGAGGCGCGTTCCAACATTTTAAGCGGCTAAGTCTGCGATGTCCACTGCCAGACTCAGCTGGGTTTTTGAAATGTTTGTCTTTTCAAACCAACAAACAGCATCAAACAGGCTAACCGCGGGTCTAAGTCTGGCGAAGTGTCTGCAACTGGGCAGTAACCATTTCTTCCAAGACTCAAGCTGAAGCTGTGCCACCAGGGTGAGCATGGGTGAGTTTGTTTTCGAGTTTTGTTTGTGTATGGGAGGGCTGCATTGAAATGGTGTCTTGAAGAGTCCTCATGGTTCATTTGGTGAGGACATGGGTGGATGACCCCGTTGTCCATCCATAAGGATTCCCTTTGCTTTGTCCGAAGGTGTTGGGTTTTGATGCACATAGTGAGTTCAGGACATCTTCTGAGAACAAAACACAGCAGGTCTCGATTGGGTGCATCGTGTGCAACAGGCAGCATGCGGTCGTATTGATTTGTTTGCCACAGGAGATTCAGTTCCAGCCTGCCCTGCTCAGTTTCAAAGTGTATAGCCTGATTCGAATCATTTATCCCACCAAGAAAGAAACATTCAGCTCACGTATGAATGACAGATTGCATTTGCAGGGTTGTAGTTGTTTCTCTGTTGGGTACCAAGGAACATGGTCATGACTATGCCTCTTTATTTGACTTCACCCAGAATACACATGGAAGAAATGAGTGAGATTTCAACGAGCCACCAAGTCGCTCGATCGAGCGGCCGTGAAGGGTCTCACCATCGTTCCGTGGTCAGCTGAAGGTTGCCACGGCTGGGAGCAGTTTGAGGAGTGAACATGGTTGCACCCAGCACACCCGGGTCCCAACCACTGCTTTTTGGATTTGAGGTTTTGGACATGGGAAAAGCAGTTGGGGGGGGGGGGGTTCTGGGACCCTATTTGGTCCAGCCCCAATCATGACCTCCAGCAGAAGTTGTTTTGTCGGAGGGTTCCTCCTGAAATCAACTACCTAAAAGCCATTTCTAGTTTTCCCATGAACGGTGATCTGGGGGTGGTAGGTTGCCACTGTGATGTTGGGTGTCCTCTCAAAAGTGAGATTCAAGTAATGAACAATTATTTACAGAACAGCTATTGTTCACAAGCAAGAGGATGGCCTTAAACAGTTTGCTTGCCATTGAGAACGTTTCTGATTACTCGTCTGAAATTTTTATTTGGAGCTCAAGAAAGGGGTTCATTCCCCCTCCAGAAGTGACATGGTTTGGGGCTCCTTGTGTTCATCAGGAGAGTAGCCTACTCAGGACGTTACATTTGTAGACGGGACATGGGCATGTGCCAAAATAGGGGTACCCGAAAACTTGTGCTTTTTTTTGGGGTGTCCCTTTCAATCCATCTGGAAAGGCTCAAAAACAACCTCACACACAGGCACAGACTCCTACACCTACACCTACACGTGGTGATGCACATTCGCCCGACGCAACGCAGCATTTTTCCGGCTGGTAAGCATCAAGCCGCGAATTCATGCAAGCGGAGCCAAAGCACCAAACCCTAGCCAGTTCCAATGGACGGCTTCCAGCTTGCACCCACGGACTCCGAAAGGAACCCATTTGCTGGAACCCATTCAACTGCGACTTTCGTGAGCGAATCTTGCTGTGATGACAGGAGAACCAAGAGTGTCTCTTGCATTGTTGATTCTTGATCGTGGTGCAATTCGCTGACGTTAATCAGGCGTTTATTTGAACCACAGGTCTCGAGTTCCTGACCATCCCATTTAGCCGTTAGCAAGGATCGGGTGTTCTTTCAAGCATTTTTAGTGACGACCAAACCAAAGGGAGGAGCGCTTTGATTTCCTTTTGGTGTCCCTTTGCCGAGTAGATTCCTCCCCGTCGATCGACTCGATTTGGCACGTGTGCGAGAGCAATCCCGAGATTTCCGTGCACCAGTCTTTTCGCCTAGTTGACCATCTGAAAAGCCTTGGCTGGGACTCGAACAACCTTGGCGCGACCCAAGATGTTGTTTGCAACCCACCTTTACTTTTAGGAAGACTGTTTGTGTTCACGCCAAACTCTTACCGACACCACCTGGCGTCCGTTTACACAAATAAGATGGCACGGTTGAACCAGTAGAGCCACATTGACTCCAGTGTTCATCTAATTTCAACCAAACCAAACCAATCAGGGCCGGCTCATCTCCGTCTCTTAAAGTTACAAGCAAAGACAAGGACTCCAGACAACTCCCCCGCGCCTCTCCGGGGACCGTCAGCGTTCCCACCGTTCCCAGAGCCTTGGGCCGGAAGCGAACACTTGCGATGGAGCGGTGATGGGAGCCGCCTGCAGCAACTCAGGGGCCAGGGTCCCAATGCGCTCAGATCGTCAGTGGCCTTCTCAGCCCAGGGAGTGTCCTTGTAAAATCGATGTTAAGCCAAGGGCGCCCTTTCTGCTCCTAAGAAGTATCTCCAGTTTGCACACTTCCGGAATTTGGGGGCCAGAATCGGGATTCCCGGAACATGCTTTTTAGCCCATTGCTCCACTGGGCGGAACAACAAATCGCTTCCGTGGCGCCTAGATTATAGCCAGTGAATTGCCTGGGTGTTTTTGTTTTGGGACGATCAATTGAGAAGGGGATGACTATTTACCCACTTACCATCGAGCACACAAGCCAAATGGAGGCTGCCAGCTGTAGTGATTAGTGGAGATGGATTTGTTTACAGGGGATTCCTCTTATCAGCATGAACCAAATTAATCCGAATCTGGCTTTGTGTCTAAGACAGATTCGACCCTACAGCTTAGTTTGTGTTTGCTGGGTTTTTTACCCACCAAATGGTGAACCCCAATCAAGCTCTTACTTTAGTTGATTCGACTATTATGTAATGTCCTTGTTGCTTGACGGGGTTCTTACCCACCAGACGCTCAACCCCAAACGGTTCTTTTAATTGTTCAGTGACTTCCACCCGTAAGACCCCCTTTTGTTCGGCGGGTTGTTGACCCACAACTGGTCAACCGCAAATGTGTTTCTGTTATATATTGCATAGCTCAGTCAGCTCCCCTGCTTGCGGGGCCTAAGACAACGGGTTTATTCAGAACTCACAGGGTTCCACTCCTTACACTCCCTTGTTTTGTGGCTTGGGGATCTAAACGTGGAAGCCACCAACCACAAAGGGTCGTCAAGTCATTTTCTACCTTGTGGATCCCTGGTTGGGTCAAGGTCTCAGCATCTCGCCCAACACAGAAGCATGTTGGCGTTTTTTGAGCTGTGGTATTGTGATCAAACACAGTACGTAGTTGTGCTAGTACACTTGTTGCAACGGTTCCTATTGACTAGTTCCGGTTTTTGGTCCTTGGGTCTTAGTGTGTGAATCTTGTTGCTCCTGCAACCACAAGTTGGAACCCAAGGGCAACCAGAAGGAAAGCGTGCAAACTCCTCTCGCGACAAATCCATCAGTTCCATGCTTTGCATCCATGAAGACAGGTTCCAAAGGTTGCTTTGGGCTGATGGTTCCTCTACAGATTCACAACTCACTCCCTGAGTTCACGGAAAACCATGTTAGTGGCAAACTTTTTGTGTGTGTGTGTGTGTTTTTGGCCAGTCCAAAAATGGACGTGAGTCATGGAACCCAAGCCTAGGTCCCCCAAATGGGGATTCCTGGAAGGATGGTTTGTTGGGTAAGTGGATCTGGAGTGGCTTGGCCAATCCGGTTTTCAGCTCTAAAGGCTCCGGTCTCCTTGGATTTCCATGCGGCAAACGGCACCGAATTCCAAGGGACCCCCTCCACTCCAGGAAAAAGCACAAAAAGACAACAAGAAGCAGACTGGAGGTCTGGGTTCCCTTGCGCAACCCAACATCTTGCGGAGTTTTATACACAATGAGTCGCTGGTGTTGACCTCCAAGACCAGCTGAGGATTTGTCCACGCTTTAACGCTTTTCAGGTTCCTCGCCCCTCCAAACACTGCTAACCTGCCAGGAGTTCGGCAAATTCGCAAAGTTTTGTCCTTTGCCGCAGCGAGGCTTCCCATTTCACTCCCCTCCAGTCGAACGCCAGGCCTCTCAGGACCAAGAGTCCACGAGCAGAGCCACGAGCCGAGACTCCGTGCAGGCCCGCTGTCGTGCGCGAGCGAGGGTTGGGGCGGTTTGGAGTGCAGGTCATGTTGGAAAGGGTTTTCAGGGAGGTTGGCCGAGGTTGGCTTAAGGGGAAAAGTTTTTCCTTTTGGTTCATGTGCGGTCAGGGCCGAAGGCTGACCTTTTTTTTCGAGGATGCCCAAACCAGCATTTGTTTCCAAATTCATGTCTGTGAGGCCCCTGGTCGTGAGAGATAGAGACTCCACGAGGATATCACAGAATATCGCTATGATGTTTCACGGGGACCCCCTCAAAAGTGGTTGGAAGACATATATAAATCCACACTTGTATCTGCGACCAGGAAATTTCAGACCCATATGGGTGTGTCAATCTTAGGTGTCCTTTTGGTCTCACACCAATCCAGAGAAGCCGAACATGCCCCTCATTTCCCACCCGGAAGCTCGAAGCTTCAAGCGGACGTTCCCGTTTTCGTGGCCAGCATGTTCTTTGGGAGGAGCCGCTTTCTTTGCTCTCGGGGAATTTCACGTAAACAAAGTGACAAAGTAGTCATGGTCGAACGAGAATCTCACCTCGGTATCATAGGGATACACAATAATTTCCTGCAAGCAATTTTAGGGAGATTTGGACGGTTGTTAAAAGGTGGCTTAACCAACGTAGGTTCTTTGAGCGAAGTTTTTCGGGCGCGATCTCGGGAGGTCACGCCTTGCGGCAGCCTCGCCTGGGTCGGGCACGGCTTCCCGGGCCCGATGCCTTCATTGGCCCTACCTGGTGTCATAGGAATTTTGTACCGCCTCTCGCTCCCTGAGTTCGTGAGCTTCCACTTTTGCAGAGATGAGCCACCAAGAAGGTGCCCAAGGTTCTTCTTGTTGGCGTCAATCTGGGTGGGAAGTGGGGTGCAGACCCTTGCAAAGCGACGCCAGATCTAGAGGCTTGGCGTGTTGCCCAGGCATAGTTCATGTTACACCTCCCAAGCTTCAACCAGCCTAAAACCCATCAATACCCACGCCAAAAGGATATTTTGGGCGTTCCGAGTTGAGATTTCCTGCCACCATCTCCTGACAGAGTCGCCTCCCGTTGATTTTAGCTATTTAAAGCAACCGGCACCCTGGTCCGCCCCTCAGCAACCTCTCAAGGCTCCTTGCTTGTCCAACTTAAACTTCACCCTTCCAAGTGAGACTCCATTGCAACTGGCGCATAAAGGACCCGTAAGTCTCATCTTCTCAGATATTGTTGGCATTCTGATAAAAGAACAAAGGTGGTGACCTATACTACTTTTGCTCCTTTTGTTGCAGTGTTTGTTAATCCGGGGGCGGACAATGGGTTGTAGGCCCACTGTCCGTGATACCAAAGGAAATCCCGTGCCAAAGTTAGGAAGGTCCGCGGCTGTGCATTTGAACGGGGAACACATCAACATGGTTGGACAGAAATCACCATGAAAGTGATGTCCCCCCACACCGAGTGCTTGCAGTTGCCACTGTAATAGGCAAACAGGTATTGTTGCCTCTCGTTGTCCCATGGTTTCCCCTGGTTACCAAAATTAAACCGGAAACTGGAATGTCCCACTTTTGCCACCCCCAAGCTCCCTCAACTCACCCAAGCTCCCCAGGTCGCGCACTCCGTGCAATCAGAGACTTGGTTATAGCCTCAGAGTCTCAGGTCCGCGCGGAGCGCCACGGAGTTCAAGACCTTGCGCTTTTCGGAGGTCGAGGAGTCGTATCCCCGGACCCGGGCGCCCGGGGCTCAGAGCCACCACGTCCCCTGTGAAGGACGTGGGGTCTGGTTTTCAGCGGGCCCCGGCGCCAAGAATGGCTTGCAAGGCCCTCGAAGATGCGAAAGAAGCCTGTCAACCTTCTTGACAATGCCAAAAGCTTCTTAGACAGCTCCCACAAAGGACCTAAGAATCAAAGCATGTGTTGCGTGCACGTTTGGTTTTACTTTTAGTCATTGTTTCACTTGTTTCCATGATTTGCAGTTTTGTCGTTTTCCGGGCCTTGAGACCAC